TTTCCCTCGACGAAGCTTCCGACTTCACACCAACTCTTGCAAAGAACCAAGCAAGAGATTCCATGTCCGGACTCGCCGGTCCAACCACGAGTTTGCGTACCTCCCTCCCCAAGAGCCCGCCGTCCTCCATTGCAGGACAGTTTATCCTCCCGCCAACCGGTCATCCCGGCACGCATTCTCGCACACAGTCGCTTAGCTCTGTTCTGGGCAGTCAAAGTCCCAAGACGGGTCATGCAGCGTTACCTATTAGTCGTACCACCACAACTACTACGACAGGCGCTGGGTCCAGTTCGGCACTGTCGTTTACATCGTCCAAACAAGAGGGAAGTGGGACGTGGTCTAAGGAAGTGGGTGCCCTGCCGTCTCTGACGCGTTTACGGAGGGAAAGCATGAGCGCCACAGGACGCAGCACGACGGTACGCCACACCCCCTCCCTTGCTGTGTTGTAGTGTAATGATTTCAGACACAGGACCTCCCCGGCGCTCTTCCAATCCGCAAGTCTGGTATTAGTCCCGTGCATCCATTCAAATCATCTACCCTGTCCTCTGGCTCGCCGTCCATCCATTCCCCATCACCCTCACTTCGCCAGCCCTCGCCGCTTTCTGCCGGGAACATCCTCCCCACGCTCCCGAGTCTCCCCACCCGTGTTCAGTCCTCTCCTCGCGCACCCGTCTCTCCGATTGGACAAGGGGTGAGCGGACATGGAGGCAAACCATCTCCGCCTTTTGCACCGTCTTCTTTGGGAGACCGGGATAGACGGGGGTCTGTGGCGTCGGCGAATGGAGTCGAGCTGACTGCTGGGTCGTTCGGTGCAACTGGTACTGGTGCTGGAAGTGGAGTGGCTGCAGGCACGGGCGCGGATGCGAATACCAGTCCAACCATGCCTACCAATGCTGGAACGTCGTCGTCGCCGAGGATAGGCAGGGGACGGTATAGGAGTAGTTTCGGACATCGGTATTCGCCAAGCGGGTCTGCTGGAGGTGGGGTTGGTGAAGGGAGTCCCGGGAGTGCTGGTGTTGGCACCCCCAGTGGAGGTCCCGCTATCGAACACGACCGCGTACGCGAACTATCAAGGGAAGGAGGTGGACAGCGCGAGCCCTCGCAGGAAGGAGTGGGCAAGGACGGAGGTGAGGGTGGTAGCAGGGCCCGCGAGAGAGGTCGAACGACCTCGTTTTTGGCAGCATCGACAGACGATGATGAATTGTCGATGTTCGTGCAGGAAATCGACGCGCGGAAACCGCTTACGTCGACAGCAGAAAGGTCGGCGGTGGGACGATTGTCGCGTGACTTGCCGAGTAGTCTTGCTCGAAGAGGTGGCGATCCCGGCGGCAGTAGGCGTAACTCGGGTGATGCAGATCAAGGTGGCAGCGAAACAGGTATCGGACTGGGTATCGGACTTACCGCCGGCAGAAGTGGCGGTGGCACGGACAATTTGGAGACGCCTGGAATGGATATCGCGACCGATCGTCGTCGTCGGTCCTCGTCGTCGATCAGTGCGGGGCCGATGCTGACACGCGAAGCGGAGGTAGACGAGAAATTGAAGCATATGAATGAAATGTTCTTGGCGTCATTGGAGGGACTTGGGTATGGGATTGGAAGGAGGAGGTCGTCAGAGCAAGTGGGGGTCGGAACGATCGGCAGGGAAAGGGACCAGTCACCTGGCGCTGGGAGTCTGGGAGGAGGAAGTGGTGGTGGGAGTGGTGGTGGGAGTTCGAGGGGGAGTGTAAGTGGTAGTGGAGTTCAGAGACCAAGATTGGGATCAATGAGATCACTGAGTGGGGGAGGGGATGCTGCGTCGAGTGGAGGGTCTGCTGAGGTGATTGGGAGGTTGGAGCTGGATGGTGAGGAGTCCAGGAGGCGGAGGTGGGGCTCGGGCGAGTGAGTGAACGACACCAAGTATATCGTATGGGTAATCTGCGTTTGTCTTTTTTCTGTTTCTGACTGTTGTAGGCACGACCGACCCTCTGGCACATATGATCATCATTTCACCCATTCTAGTTGATCTTCTCTTTTCTTTCTATCACATACCCCCCCGAACTGTGCAAAGCATCTTTATTTCCATCGTAGTTAGTGTGTATCTCATGTTGTAGGCGAGTGGATGTGGACGGGTCTTTTGTTATGAACCACTTTGAGCCGTTAAACCCAAACAAATCCTTAGTTGGATGTTGAGAGCGGTCACGTCCTCTAGTCTGACGGTGCGCTTCAACATATCACCAGACCGCGTAACGACGCTGCACATACCAATCTTCGACGACGACAAATAGACGATTTCGACTCTCGAAGGCTACTATAGGTCCTACTCAACCAATCGTCGTGCAATTTCACACAAATCAGCTCTGAGCGCCCGACGTTATTCTAACCATTTGACTGGGCGCTATGATGACCATGCACTAGAAGCTTGTGTCGACTATGGGTATACATACTGCATGGATGGTTGCTTAGGGTCCAGGGCCGACATTGATCGGGGAGGTCGCTACGATGGCGACAAGCCATTGCAGTGATGCTCACTGATTGATGTCGGTCGGGCCCAGGGTCCAGACAGTTAACGATGGCATGCCTCCCACTCCCCACAAGTACTGAGACTCACCGTAGTACGACTAATGCTGAAGGTGCAGTCTATCCTCTTTTATTGACAATGCTTGCTTGCACTGGTTGCCTCCGTATTTGTCTCGGCGCAAGGGACCGACGACACATAATATGATATCACTCTGAAGTCAGCGGCTCCCCGCACCCCACCAGCCTACATCGTGACTGAAATTTCGCCCACTGATCGCCGACCATCATCATCATCATCATCATGACCACGTCACTCGACCAACTCAAGCAGACAGGTACCGTTGTCGTCAGCGACTCTGGCGACTTTGAGAGTACGTCGTGGAACCCCTATCTATCCTGTCACTTCTCGTGATGCTGAAACCCGGTAAATGTATCCGTTAGCTATCGATGTTTACAAGCCGCAGGTAAGCGTGATAGTGTGAGGTACTGAGAGCGGGCCATATGTGCTGAGCAAACTCCGGGCAGGATGCAACGACCAACCCATCCTTGCTCCTCGCAGCTGCAAATAAGCCCCAATACGCACATCTCGTAGACGCAGCGCTCAAACATGCCAAGGTGAAAGGAGGAACCCTCGATCAGCAAGCCAACATCGCCATGGATTGCTTGGTGAGCGTATATGTGTTGTCATCCGTTGGTTTCACCGGACCGACCGACTTGTGCGTGTGTCAGCTCGTGCAGTTCGGAAAAGCGATCTTGGATATCATTCCGGGTCGTGTCTCTACTGAGGTCGATGCTCGCCTTTCCTTCAACAAGGAAGAAACAATTGCCAAGGTAGATATCCATTCTTCTTTCCTCGTATCATAGCAGTCTGACATTTTTCAGGCTCAGGCACTCGTCGCTCTCTACGAATCTGCGGGTATAAAACGGGACCGCGTACTCATCAAAATCGCCTCCACATGGGAAGGCATTCAAGCCGCTCGAGAGCTCGAACAGAAACACGGGATACACTGCAATCTGACTCTCATGTTTGGATTCGTCCAGGCTGTTGCGTGTGCTGAAGCAGGCGTGACTTTGGTCTCGCCTTTTGTTGGGCGTGTACGTGCCCGCGTGTTCACTGTGTGGTGCGAAAGAATGTGAATTTTTATGTTTTCTATGTTTTCAGATTCTGGACTGGTACAAGAAACATACCGGAAAGGATTATTCGGGCGACAACGATCCGGGTGTCCAATCCGTTAAGAAGATATTCAATTATTACAAGCAACACGGGTACAAGACCATCGTGATGGGTGCCAGCTTCCGCAACGTAAGCTTGCTTGCAGCATTTCCATCTCATACCTAGCGTGACCTCGTGCTCACTCTCCATTTTGTTCTTGCGTTTCGTAAAAGATTGGAGAAATCAAAGCCCTAGCGGGCATCGACTTTTTGACTATTTCTCCCGCTCTTCTGGAGGAACTCCGCAGGTCTTCAGATCCCGTTCCGAAGAAACTTGACGCAGAAAAAGGTATGTACGACATGACTATGGCCCCTTCCACCTACCTGCATACCTAGGTTTTGATTCTGGTTTACATTGATTGGCAATATGTCTGAATCATATGTATAGCCGCACAAGCAGATCCCATCGCAAAGGTTTCTTATCTGAACAACGAATCCGCGTTCAGGTGGGATCTTCTGCAGGATCAAATGGCGTTTGATAAGTTGCACGAGGGCATTAAGAAGTTTGCGGATGATGGAGATGCACTGAAAGATGTTCTGAGGAAGAAGCTGTTGGAGGCGTGAAGCGGGAGGTGTGTCAGGGATGTGTGTTGAAATGTCCACGCACGTTTTTTTTAAGATACGTAGAATAATTTTGAGCGATTGAAATATCGCAGAGGGAATGTGCTTCGTCGATGGTATTGGACGGTAGGGGCATTTAACGTAGTGATGAAGTTCATGTCTTTCGGACGTTCTACGTGACACGGTATAATTTTCGGCAGTACCAGAACTTTGACAGGTAAGATGATTGTTTCTGAACTTTCAAGATAAAAGAGTCGCACTTCTGTAGTAGCTTTGTACTAACTGCTAGATGTAGCTCACAAGTATAACCAAAGGAGCAATTACTTGCCGAGTGTGTTCGGTGTTATGCATTTGAGTAACTTGGTGTCGGCGTGGATTGTCGTGAAAGCTCCAGGACATCGGTTGATTAGGAGGATGGGTTTCAGAGTAATCTCGAAGCGATAATGGGCATCAATTTAAACAGGCACATCACTCTATGTTTACTAGAAAACATTGGAATACGGATTACTATTGCCTTTCTTTCGCGTTGTCAAAAGCGAAGTCGAAGTACCAGATTTCCATCCGCTAGATCTGACTAGATCATCAACGACCTATCAAAACGATGAATGAATCGAAGGTGGAAATGGCGAATAAGAGCCAAATCGATCCAAAGGTCAGGGAACAAAACAGCGCTGATAAGTAGGATTCCGGACGGTGAACTCACCTTTCCCCAGCTGACTCCATCGCACAGCATGTGTAGTGCAGGAACTGGTCCACTGCGGCTCTACGACAGTCAAGAAAGAAAGGCAAAAATGCGACAAGAATACCTCGGTGAGAACCTAGGCGAAGTTCCCGCCTACCTTGTGTTATCGCACGTATGATGCACCCTGTAAGCGATTGGGAAACCGATATCCCTTGGCATATCCCCATCTCTGACCCGTAGAAATTGAAGCGCGTCCTCGAGTACTGCAGGAGAGAGAGCAAGAGTGTGGATGGACATCTCATACATGAACCAAACTCGCAATGACCAGGCGGCAAGAGAGAAAGTACAGGAGATGTCAAGGACGGGACACTATTAGCAGGAGGCAACGGCTTGTCTCGTCACCGCAGTGAATTACGAGGAATTCCACAATACGTACAGATCCATTATAGAGATCTGGCAGCTTCAGAGCAGGACGGCGAAAAATAGATCTGGGATAACTTGAAACATTTGAAGGTTGTTCGCGATGACAAATGGTTCTACAGAGTGTGGACATACCAAGAGTTGTTGCTACCCGAAGAGCACGTCCTCCTGGATGTCCGAGAGCCATATTGTCGACGATCTAACCCGCATCCTGCGCTAGTACTTCAAGACATTCAGAATTCGGTGGCTGGCGAAGCCCGGAGGTGGGAGAGACTACGAATTCGCCCACTCCGAAGAACTCGTGTTCCCTGGTTCGTGGGGACACCAATTATCCAGCTGAGATTTGAAGGGCACATTCCAACAAAAAAGGATATCTCGAACTGCTCGACGCCATCCATACAACCTGCTGGAAGACAACCACTCGGAATATATAGGTTGTCGAAAGATGAAGACAAGGTTCTGCTCGATACCGCTGCTGATGGACAGCCTGTTTCTGCACCGTCGAATTCTGCAGCTGAGGAGTAACGCAAGTTCAAGAAACTATGGGAGAAAACGATGAAGAAGACAGTAAAATCGGGCAGGGTGTAGCCATTGCTCTATGATGCTATAGGCCCTGATGCGGCCACGGGTGGATACCCCACATCCTACCCAGTGACAGTTGCGTAGTCTATCCAGAAGTCTTGGGTCACCGTAACCACGAAGAGATTGAAATGGCTAAGGACGGGTTACATATTGCAACAAGAGTGGTGGGACACCTGACTTGGGCCAGTGACCCGACTGGACACGGGAGTGGAGATGTGAACACGACGATCAGATATGCTTGGGAATTGGTGGCAGAGGGGCTTAATCGATCTTGGAGACGTTCAAGGAGGGCCTTGCCAACAATTCGGCCATGGTGCCACCCCAGGAGTTAGAGCACACTCGAAAGCAACTAGAAGGTGCTCTCCACGCACCATTCTTGCAGATTGTTTCAACATCGTAGGGAAGGAGGATCCCACAAGGAAACTCCGATTCGCTCCTGGTAAATCAGGGTGGAATATGGCTGCCTTCTTAGCTCAAGGCAACCAACAAACGAGTGGGTCGTAGGTATTCTTTGGTTGGATTCGCACCTCCCAGTCTCCGAAGCGAGACGATGGTTGCTGGGTCTTGGACGTGACTTCGGGGACACTGGCTGCTTCACGCTGGATGATAGCAAAATAAAATTTGAGTTACCTTTCACAAGATCGGGTCTGCGCGTGCCAGTTCGCTTGCCATTTTCCATCTACAGACGTATCATCCTGGATTGGATTGGTAATCTCTCACATTTTGTTCAACCAACAGATACTGACGAGCAGCATACCCGCTTTCAGGTGGGAACTTTTGGAGATGACGTTTTATAAGTAGAAGAAGTTCATGAACGAAGAAAATGCATCAGTGGAGGCGTGAAGTGGGACCGGTCGGAAGAAGGGGTAGGAATTGTGAAATGAGGACCACGTAGCGACGTTCGAGCTGTAGGATAGTTTGAGTGATTAAAATATCGTTGAGGGAATGTGCTTCGATTGTCTTGAAGAGTTAGCGGAATTGTAGTGCATTTCCATACGACGTTCTATGATTTTCGGTGGTGCTGACAGAATCTGGACAAGGACGATCCGAAATGACGGCCACACGTGACTCCCGTGTCTTCAAGACGGTGAGACGCTCAGGTGACCCGACTTACATAATTCCGTCAACGCGCCCGGCGCGGTCACGTGAATTTACTGAACCAACGCTCAACATATCCTAGCGTGGGCATATCCTTTCTACGCCTCTGAACTACCTAATAAACCCTGCACATCGCTTGCTTTGATAACAGTACAAAATTCTCCATGCAAATCTGTCAATGCGTATGCGTGAATGTCCTCAGCGCGCCTCAATACGCCATCCGGTCCGACCCTATCAAACGTTGCACATGCATCTTCTACGACGAACACCTCGTACCCGAGGTCCTCAGCCATGCGTACCGTCGTGTTCACGCACATGTTAGACGTGAAGCCGCACACAAAGAGCCGCGTGATACCGCACGCTCGGAGATCCGCTTCGAGAGAAGTACCTATGAACGCAGAGTGGACAGATTTCGTGTAGAGCGGCTCATCTATAGGACGAGTTGGAGAGGGCGTGGCGAAGGGGAATATGGCGTTTCCTGGATGTGAGGGGTGAAGAGTCGAGGCGGGGTCGCGTGAGTTGTGTTTAACATGGAAGATGGGGAGGTTGCGGGTGCGGAAGAGGGTGAGGAGGGCTGGGATGGTATTCTCGATTTGTGGATTGTTGCGGTGCCCGCCGTGGAACGGTGTGTTGTCGGCGAGACCTGGGGTGGAGGTGAGTGCATTGTAGAAGGGTGACCGCGGAGTGGGCTGACTTGCCTTGCTGGACGTCGATGACAAGGAGGGTAGTATCCGTGGGTGACATGCTTCTGTGCATTCTGATGATACTCTGATGTGATTTGAGGCTTTAGTGTCCTATACTCTTAAGATTTGATGATGCACAGGATGTATTCAGCGTGCGTAACAGGAACCGGAGGAGACATGAAACACGAGAATGTCTTGCCGGAGTGATTTGTGTTACGAAGTCAACCTGCCCTGCTTCATTCCATTCCTAGACTAACAGATGTCTTTTGACAGCAAAACCAAACCACAGGCTACGGCAAAGTGAGCGGAAAGTTGTAGCACCGGCAATGATTTATGGTGCCGGACCGACTATCACTTTCGAGAAAAATCAGGGACGTAAAACATGAAACACCAACCTTGCGCCACACTCAAACTTTATGTTGGATTGTCGTTGAGTTGCTGCACTTTCTTGTGAGCCCCGAGCCCACTGATCTGTCGGCATCACTGGCCATCGTCCAAGTCTCTATGGGTCGATGCATCGCTATGAAGGTAAAAGCACACAGCAGCCTGGAACATGTTGAACTCACTTTTCTACTGATCTTGGCTTGTGCGATCCGGAGGTTGAACATTGAACAGTGGTCCCATCAGGACGAACGTACCATTCGAAACACGGTTGATTTTGGCGACCGCTGATTGATCGAAATAATAGGAATGGCTAGTATTTTTCTTAAACCTCCGGTCCTGCGGGGCCGAGAGGATCCGTAGGACACCTCTAATGTGTGATGCGTGGTTGTGACATTGTGACTCAGAGATGTTCAGGCTGCCACTAACCCATTTTAACCTACTACCAGCCAAGACGGCTATCAAACAGGGACCCTCTGTAACAGGACTGAATCAAGCGCATGCTAGGGTTGAGTAAAGCCACATCTTCAGCCTTTGTATTGCCTAATCCTTAATGGTACCTTGATACCAGCTTCTCCTGCAACTTTGGGCCTCAGTGTAATCCCCCTAGTTATCTCAATTTTCGTATCTGGTCCGTCCCTCATCTCGAGCACAAAGTTCTTGACCACCACCGAAAGTACTGTCTGTAATGTCGAATTTCACTCGGTAAGCACTACGCCTCTCGCAAGATAGACACGTACCTTGATCTCAGCAATAGCAAACAATTTTCCAAGACAAATCCTCGGACCATCACCAAATGTGAGCAAATGTCGGTATCCCTTCACCTCCCGAGCTTTCTTCGTTACGCCATCATTTTTTAACCATCGTTCAGGTCTAAACACTTTAGCGTCCGAACCCCAGACCGCTTCGGAGCGGTTCATGCAGGGAATAGATACACCAAACACTGTCCCGCGTTCGACAACTATGCTATCAACCACTTCACCAGACTGTGTCCGCACAGGCTCTGATAGAGGAATAACGCTGTCCTCATCTGCCTATATGAGAAAGAAATCAAGTTAAGCGCTGAACGTGGGTTTCCGCCTAACTACGTACTTGACGTGTCAGGTCCGGGGCGGCTGGACGAAAGCGCAGAGTCTCCTGCACTACGGCATCGAGGTAAGGGAGGCCAGTGGTAAACTCGTCGTATGAGGGTTCTCCACCGAAAGACAAAAGTTCTTCGCGAAGTTTAATTTGAATATCTGGGTGCAGTGCGAGTTCGACCAACGCCCAGGTCATAGTGACTAGAAGTGACGATCTCGTTATAACAGGACAATTTAACACCGCATTTACGATGCGTACTTGCTGTGGCCTCGTATGACGCCATAAACAATACACGCATCTGTTGAAAAGCAGCTTCGGTGAGTTGGCGCTGTCAGAACATATCAGAATTCCCTCACCTGCGCCAAGACCTCCTCTCGAGAGATACGTTGGCCAGAATCTTCATCTTCTGCCTTCACTGATCGACGCGTTAATCAGGGAGAGATCAGTACACGACCACGATAGCGTACGCAGCAAACCGATTGTAGAGGCTTGTTCACTTGAAGCGCCTTCCTTCTCCTTTGTGGCGTTATCGACCAACATGTCACAGATCTCCGTCATTCGCTCGCGAAGCTCGTCAAACATCTTGTTCCGCCAGGTTGGCACATTCATTGCCATAGGAAAAATGATGGAAAGCAGGAAAACAACATCATCCAAAAGGTGGTGGGGTGAGGGCGCTCCGAAAGCGTCGAGGACCGAAATCATGCTATTTGGTTTTTCATTAAGGGAGCCGAAGTCGTAGGAGAAACTTGCAATCCCAACAGAATCGAGACTGAAGAAAATTACAAGGCTTCCAGAATGTCATAGAAAACGAACGTACGAGACGTAGTTCATCCTGAAACAGAGTTAAGACACCTAAACGGTCAGTGCATTCCATATAACGTACCATTTCTCAACATCAAGGACAACACTCCCGCCTCCGTTCTCATCGATGCGTGCTTCCCAAGCTACTTTCAGCTGTCGCAGAAAGATGCTAAGAACTCGGTTGACACGGGCGTAGTAACTGTATTTGCTTACCCTATCCGCGATTTTATGGATGGTGGGGCTTAACTTTCGAATGGCGGTAGAAGTGAATGAAGGTGCGATGGATCTCCTTTGCCTGAAAGTACATCCATCCGGCATTAGGACGTGATGATGTTAAACCAGGGAGACCATACCTTCTGTGTGACTCGCCTTCAGCCCAAAACAACCCCTTTCCTACCTGGGGATCCCGGAATGAGGGAACCATGGAAACATACTGAAATCGTACGTACCCTCCGTGCAATGGCCGCTTTGATACCCGGAATGCCCACGTACAACCATGTATCTCTAGCCAAGAGGTGTGCCGCTGCTTTCGGGTCGCAGAGTATGATCCTCTTTTGTCCGCACATCATTGGAATTTCATACACCACACCGTACTCCTTGGACCATGCCTCGAACATGGCTCCTGAATCAGGCGATTCGAACAACTCTTTACCTACTCCAAACAACAGACTAGTGCTCTTTGGTCCCCTTAGTTTTGTCGTTCTCGATTTCTTCCGAATTGCTCGGATTGCCATACGTAACGCCCATATGGCCGCCAGCCCGGTTGCTACGTTGATTAAAGAGGCAGAGCGAACAAGCTTAGACATTGGGACCATATCGAATGTGACGTTCAAGGTTGAAGGATGCGAACGCCGTTCTTGCTCTAGCCATCGCAACGTATTAAGTACCTGCCGCCTAACG